AAAAATATATTAAAATTATTATATTATATATTTTATTAATATATTTAAATATATAAAAAAATTAATAATATAAGTTTTATCATTCTTAAAAAAAATGCATTTAGTACATTAAACAAAATATAAAGTATGTATAAAAATAAATATATCAAATTGATATCTATCTTTATATTTTTAATTGTTTTCTTCATTTGTTATATCTTTAATATAAAATAAAGAAATTGACAGTAAATTTTGTACAACTTGTTTTCAAGTTTCAATTATAACAATCAACTATTAATTTTAAACCCTATAAGATTTGTCTTATACATATGTACTACTTCAATAACACTCTAAGGCACAATTTTGAGTTGAGATTGGAAATGTTGGTGCGATTATAAGGTATGAGGCACAATTTTGAGGTGCAATTGAAAGTGTTAGAACGATTTTAAAGTGCTCGTAGTTGCACCTTTTGATTTTCTCCCTTTAAGGGTCCACAATATAGCTTCCATGACCACCATAAAGATCCAAATCCTACAAGCTGATGCTCCCAAGGGCATAAAAAAATTTTGTTGTATTTTCTCCTCTTCTAAGATGTATACATTTTGGATTTGCCAACCGCGATTGCTAAGTAATTACAAATTAATATAGGGGGACTAAATGAAGAACCTTCACTTACATCAATATTTCAAGACATCTTGGTCCTTTTTGTTTCAATTTTTGATTAGGATAGTAAAATGAGGTTAATGTAGATGTCTCCTCCACTAAATAGATTTCACAAATTGAACCCTCTACCCTAATCTTATTCTTGACCTTTTATTTGAGGAAATGCAAAAATATCTAAAAAGGAACATGAATTGACATTAAAAGATTTGAAGAAAGATACAATACAATAGTTTACAAATGATGTAACTAATTTTATTCCTCTCAAATGGATACATCCAACGATATTGGATTGGACCACCAACTTTGGCTTCATAAAGTAAATGAATTAAAAGATGCTCCATTGAATCAAAGAAGCATGAAGGGAATATGTATTCCAACTATCATAACTCTAAGTTGTTCAACATATAGTGTTGTTAAAGTTAGTTCTCTAAAAAAACTAGCTAAGTTCAAAAAGAACCTTTCAATTAGGTTTTGGCAATGAGTTGAATGCAATTAGAATTAATCACTACATGGAAAACATGACAATCATCATTTTTTATCCTATATAATTTTCAATGTTTAAGGTCAACACACCAACACAAATTGAAAGCATATTCATTTGGTAACTTAAGTTTTTTAATCTAGTTACAAATAATAATTCATTGGGATTTGACCACTACATATATTTCCTCTCGTTTCATAATTTTGCCACGACAAATGTGTTTCAACTTTAGCTCCCTTTGATTGCTTATTTATGGTAAATTCAGTCGAGCCTTATATGTATTCTTAATCCTATCATTGATGTACATCACAATATCGAATACATTCAAAAAACATTTCTCTCATTGTGCAAAATTTATGTTCTCCAATATGGTAACCCCTAAAATATACTTTGTTTCTTCCAATTATATTTAACACCATGTTCATGATTATCTTATTCTTTGTCTTCTTGTGACTCATGACAAAACAATAAGTATGCAACCGTATTCCAAATTTCAAGACTAGACAAACATGGAAGAAGGGAGTCAATTTGAAATATAGCTCAAATCTTTTTGTGACTTATGACAAAGTGATAAGAGTGCAACCCTATTCCTAATTATAAATATACCTAAAGTCTTCTGATAATCTTGATTAAAATTGAGTCAACTATGTACATATACTTGGAAAAAAAATATCAACTTTTTTGTGTGGACACCAAAAAAATTAAGAAACACAACATATGTACGAAACTTTAAAAAAATGTATATATCCTAACTGGGATGAGATAAATCATGACTAATGCTCAAACACAATTATTTCCAATTGTTTAACTGCTAGTTAAAAGCAACATGAGTTATGAAACACTAGCAAGTGTAGAAAAATACAAGAGAATGAAAATCAAAGAGATGTTGAAACAAAGGTGAGAATTGTGGCAGTTGATGATGCTCAATATAATGGAATAATAAGTTAACATCTAATGTTAGTGCAATATATGTCATGTTATTTCAAAATAATATAGATGTGACTCTTAATTTAATTATGTTGCGCACCAAATAGCAGCTAAAATCATAAATAAATTTTAACGTAAAACATATATTTTAACACAAGGATTTCTAGTGTTTGTTGGGTCACACAACACAATGAATAATGGCATGTTAAAGTTGCTCACAAAAGAAAAGTATTTATGACAATATTTGTTATTATGTTCACTAGATCTTTTTTTGGTCTATATTAGAATTTGAACTATATATGTGAATCACATTTCCTCTAAACAATTGCTACAAAGGCACAAATTTTGTTTCTCTTTGTAAGGATAGGTAATATCAAAGTGAAAAAAAAAATTGAAACAAGAAGGGAAATTTAAACCAAAAGCTTAAATCAAATTTACCATATTCACCAAACCATATTCGTGACAATAATTTTTTGTTAAATTCAATGTTTTGAAAACCGAATCAGTCATCAAACAATGAAGATGTTGGATTAGTGTATCGTCAATATTCATCTTAACAAGTGTATTTTTTTTAAGAATAAGATAATATTACGGAGTATCTATTCAAAAGCTTAAGCATTTATATCTCAAGCATCTTAAAAACTCTTTAATAGATTGTTGTGTCATAATTCAAATAATTAATATATCTCAATTGTACTAATAATACTAGGTGCTACCATGTAAAACACATATTTATTATAACAATAACTTATAATTTTAACAAGCTTTACCTTAAAGATTAAGGCTATCTAAACACCTATTTTAGAACAAATATAATAAAAGAAATTTTTATTCTTAATAATAAGAATTATAATTCATTACATAAGAATAAGATAAAAAATGACATTAAAGAGAATATTAAGAAAATAAATTATTTGAATAACAATATTAAAGATAGAAGGTGAATAAAAAAAAGAATATGATTTGAAAAAGAAAAAAAGACTCCTTAAACTTTTTTTTTATATATAAAAAAACACTTTAAACTTAAACTATAATTTAATTGATGAAGCTTACAAATATATATCCTTAACTTTAATTTTATTATAATTAATATTTAAATTTTATGATAGTAAATAATCATGTTAATTTTTTCATTCTTATACATCTTTAAAATTTTATACTTTATCATTATATCAAATTAAATGTCATTCATTAATCCTTTTCTTATTTCTATGTTACAATTAGTTTTTTTACATGTATTAAAAATTATTTTACAAAATAGGAAAATAAAAAAAAATGTATGAGTTGTTAATTCTAAAATTGTAATCACTTTTATTTGAATTTGGATCCTTTCATACAAAGTGTCTCTACAACCTTTTTTCTATAATATTATAAACCATTGGATATATTTGAAACTATTGAGATTAAATCTAATAAAAACATGTTTGAAAATTAAAATTAACCTTGGATTAAAACATTAAAATGTTGTCTTTGTCCCTTCTTCTTCCACGCGGCGATGGTACACATTTTTGTCTCCAAATTTAGCCATTAGAGCCTCAAGTTCCCACCACTTCCTACTTATTATTGTCTCGTCACCAACGTTGCGCGTTGATTATTGTCGTGTACATTTGATCAAAAAATAAGTTCTCAAAAGAGATCAAGTGATTTACTAAAATTACACATAAAGCATTGTGTTATTCTACTTATAGGAGTCATGAATCATGATTCATGAGAGACATCAAATTTTTATTAAATCCTAAATTAGCACACAAACATAATTTACAAACACCTCAAACTCAATTTAATGAAATACTTTTACTCTTAAAATTACAATATTAGGACTAAAAAAATACTTAAGATGAAATATTATAAACAAGGAATATGTCATATTCTTATCAAAATATAACAAAAATTATATTAAAATATAAAATAAATAATTTATATAGTAATTAGGTTTGAAAGATCAAGAGACAACATAATATTATCCTATTTTGTCAATATTGGATCGAGTGGTTCAACCAATCGGACCGAGAACCAATCTGTCTACTAATCCTAAAGAACCACAACACAGTAAGTGTAAAAGAATCAATACAAAACTAGTGAAAACCGGTAAGAAAACATGGTTAAACCAGTCATTTTCCAAAAAGATGATAAAATTATTTAAGCTATTTTTATGATAAATAAATACTTATAGTTAATAAAAATTATAAATTAAAATAAATTATATTAACTATTATTTTTAATAATTTTATTTTAAAAATATAATTTAATCATTTATATTAATTTATAATTTTTAATATCATGGTATTTTATATTATATTAATTTGAGAATTTTATACTTTACTGTTAATATAATTATTATATTTTATTTAAACTTAAACCTAAATATTATATTTAAACTTTAACATGCACTTTAAAGAAATAAAAATAATATTATTTTATGTATTATTTAAATATTATAATTATTTTATTAATATTGATTTGATCATTGTTCAATTACAAGTAAATCATTGAATCTTAAATCAATGTCTTAGATAATCAGTCCAATTTTAAAATTATTAATATTATCACAATGTTACCTACACGTTTTGTTACAACGAAAATAAATGGGACAGATTTTTTTTCCAAAAAATCAAACGAAAGTTTATTGAAAATAAAATTTTAACTTGTACTCACCTTGTATTTTGAAATTGATATGTAGTTGTAAACAAAGGTTTGTCAAATTAATGAGAAATAAACACATATTCCGAAAGATTTGGATTCGATCACTATTAATACAAAAAACTTATTGATGAATAATCTATATGTAATGTAATTCAATAAATACCCCTAAAGTCTTGAGGCTCAACTCCCATACCCAAATCATCCAAACTTCACCCCCAAAAAAAATGTGATTGGTTAAATCTATTATTTATTATTCTTTTTTTTCCTTGTATTATTAGTTATTTTGGTACGCATCCCCTTCCACCATCAATATTAAGCACGTCAAGTTAGTATCATTTTACGATTCAAGAACAATGTCTCACAATCCTACACATGCATATACTAAAAAGATTATAAAAAAAAATTTATGTCTAGAATTACGAACTTTGCCACTGCCTTTTCAATAGTCATTTTTTGAGAAAACTTTGAAAACATTTTTCCATTTTCAGTTTTTCACTTGTTTTCAACAATCCAACCAAACATGTTTTAAAAAAACAATCAAACCAAACAGACTTCCATATCTCATCAATTTCTTTCTTTCCTCAAGAAGGAAAAGTGCATATATCAATATGTTTCAGCGCTACTTTTTTTTTTCCCAAAAGAGGGCGGCACAATAAAAAAATATTAAATTTAATGAAATTTAAATTCTAATTATATCTAAATTTTGCCTTCAATAATAGATTCACTAAATAGAAAATAATCAAAACTAGTCCATAATCACATACTACAAACAGAAGCAACGGACTTAACAAATTAAAACACTAGAAGCAGACAGAAAAATGTGACTGGGCAGATCTTTGAACGATAACATATGCTGCCACTTGGTAAAGTGATGGAATACAACATTCATGATTTTATAGTAGCTGAATAATTTTTGTATGGAAACAAAGAACCAACCTGGTCCTATATGAAGTCGAGTTTAACCAAAATAAGAAAAAACCACCAATATTGGTTACTATGCCACGCCATTTCCAGGCTGCTTGCTTCTACAAAGCCCCTCAAAATATACATTTGCCAAGAACAAGAACAACGCCAGATCCTAACTTAGTGTATGTAAATGGCCAAAATATCCTAATTAACACTTTGATATATGGTATCTTCTTCGGGAATCATCCCTTCCTCCTCTTCTCCATTGAAATGTCTTCCACTGCCCCACTCTTTCGGAGGACTATTAGACCTACAATTTTTTTCAGGTGCTCGCTGCCCCATCATTGAACGATGAAAACTGTAAACTGGGGAACGTTCGCGACCTGCTGGTGCTGGTGCCGGTCTGTGAGGGCTGCGACTGCGGCTTCGATCCCGATTAAAGCTCTTATTGATATCACTATCCCATCCACCACTGTGTTCCATCATTGCCTTGTGAAAGCTGCTGCTTTGGGAATGTTGAGGTACTGGAGCCCTGTCAGGACTACGACTGCGGCTACGGTCACGGCTCACACTTTTGAAGCGATCACTCCAACTAGATCCCTTGTCTGGGCTCCGACCCCTATTATGCCACAAAACAACATTAACCATCCTTCTACAAAACCCAAATCCTATCCTATGGTAAAGTAAATAAAGAAAATAATATCACTAATAAGTAATAATAAACAAAACCAACCTGTGTGGTTCATAGTCAAACCCACGGCCTCCACCTCTGCCAGAAGCAGCAGTCCCCCTCCCGCCATAACTTGAATCGCTTCCTCTTCCACCAAATCCTGCATCGCTACTCCTTCCACCATATCCAGAGTCATTATTCCTTCCACCATATCCAGAGTCATTACTCCTTCCACCATATCCAGAATCACCACGTCCACCTCGTCCACCAGAAGAACCCCATCGTCTGGATCTGCCCATCCCCCCACCACCTCGAGATGACATATCACGAAGTTCCACAGGTACCTTCTGGTTTGCACCTTCCAAAACTTTGATGAGATCTGAAGCATATTTAGCATCCTGGTCACCAAAGAAAGTGTAAGCTAGCCCAGTGGCTCCAGCTCTCCCAGTCCTTCCAATCCTATGAACATAATCTTCCACACCTGTAGGGAAGTCATAGTTGACAACCACCCTGCAAAATATTTATGTTCATTGTCAAATAAGATGGTCACTTTTCCGAGACAAGTTCACCCAGCAAACAAAATCAGAGAAACACTAAACTACAGTATACAGTTCTTATTTACTATCACACACGTGGACCTCAGAATATAAAAATATCATAAAACAAATAGTTAACAACCTAATGTCTTTGATATCCAGTCCCCGGGCAGCAACATCTGTGGCTACTAGCACAGGAGACCTCCCAGTTCGAAACTGACTCAACACATGATCCCTCTCTGCCTGGGATTTATCCCCATGAATAGCAGCAGCTCCAAACTGTCGTGTCAGGTTACGAGCAAGTTGATCACACATTTTCTTCGTAGAGCAAAATATAATTATCTTTGATCCTTGATCCTGTGACCGCAAGATATGCTCCAGCCGTCTCTGTTTCTCCATTGGTGGCAATACTTCAACATGCTGATATAATAACATAAAACACATTACATTTTATAGCTATTAACTGACATCAATACACTGTCTAAAAGAAAAATTAGAGAAAGAATGGGCATTGCACCCAAATACAGCAGTAGAAATAGCAGATATCAAACCTGAGTAATGGACTTGTTAGCAACAAGCTCATCTACATTGCCGATGTTCACCTGGACAGGCTTCACTAGCAGGTCAGCTGCAATTTTTCTAACCTCCTTTGGCCATGTTGCAGTAAACATGAGAGTTTGCCGGCGATTAGGCACCTCATTCACAATTTTCCTAATTTGAGGTTCGAATCCCATATCCAGCATCCTGTCTGCCTCATCTAGCACCAGGTAAGAGACCTGATGAAGACTAATTCTTCTCATCTCAAGAATATCATTCAAGCGACCAGGAGTGGCTACCACAATATCTGCTCCCCGATCAATGTCTCTTAGTTGAGGACCCTTAGGTGCTCCTCCATACAAACACTAGCAAGAAAAAACAATGAATGAATAAATAGTAGCAAACAAAGCCAGTAGTTGTTTTTTCTTTAACTCAGTTTAACTCAAGGACTCCTGTTTGAAGTTTTACCGCACCAACACCAACTGAACATGCGTCAAACACTTCACATTATGTGTCTAATAAAAAAAAGTAATTATTTTTTAAACCTGGATACTTGAACTGACTCATCCATTTGGATAGACTACACACTAATATTATTTCAAAAAAATCATTTAGCTTAAGAGTTATCAGCTTAAAGGTTAAAAATAAAATATAACGTAATGTATTAAAAAATAATGACTACATTTTTTGTGAAGTTCTTTACCATAAAAAAGTGGTAGAACTTATTCAGTTAGTTTAAGTTGGATAAACCTTTCTGGAAAGATATAATTTCATCTTATTTTGGAACCAAGTGCGTACACATTGTAAAATTATGTTTCTTAATATTTTGTATAAACGTTGCTTATATTTCATTTCATTTGACTCTCTTTGTACACACACAAACACATCCATGCACTGTTCCAATGTCCTATATTTTGGACATTAGTCAAGTTCACATATTCATGTTGTGTCCACTTCACATGTCAATGTGCTTCCTAGATTATGAAACCTACAATATTATATATTTGTTTACATGAAATATACCCATAAAAAGAAATAACACAATGTAAGTTGGCAGATCGTGACAGAAAAAATAAACATATAAAGAACACATTACACCAGGCAATCAAATGAAGAATGATACTTTAAGAGCAATATTTGTTTCACAATCTCAATTGGCGAGTACAATAGTTTTCAAAGTTATCCTTGCTGATAAATGAAAGCACAACAAAAAATAATTTAATAAATATGAGAACAATATTACTTACTACACAAGAAATTCTTGATGATTTCCCAAACTTCACAGCTTCATCTTGGATCTGAGTTGCCAACTCCCTCGTTGGGGAAAGTACCAATGCAGTAGGACCCATTTTGGAGTTATTACCACAGCGCTTCAGATGAACAAATGCTGGCATTAAATACCCCAAGGTTTTCCCTGAGCCTGTTTTAGCAATGGCAACTATATCTCTACTTTGTAGAGCAATGGGCCATGACTGTGCCTGAATTGGAGTTGGGGCTGAGAACCCAGCATTTTGTACCTAAAAAAAGGAAAACCCAGGAGATTGGTTTTTTTTTGGGACTTATAGAGGAGTTAACACCGGAAGAAGCATCATCCCTCATATGCAAGCCACCAATGCTTGCTGATGCAAGGTAGCGCATGAGGAGGCTTCTTCTTCCGTACAGACCAAGTGGCAGACTGAATCATGACCAACAGCAGTCCCAGCCACGAACTTGGATGATTCGGAAAGCCCTTCCAAAAACTTGGTCCACCATAAAGGGCGCTCCAAAGTCCAAACTAAATGCTAGCCCCACAAAAGAGGGTACCACAGCGTACGACATTAGCTCCTCCCCAGGAGCAAATATCGCACCTACGACAAAAAAAGTAAAAATGGCAGAAAATTCATGAGCCTGAAACTTGGAAATTGGAGCTTCAGGAATCAGAGATTTGCACAAGGAAAAATTGGTCAGATACCTAAGGAAACTTGGGTATCCTCCTAACTGCCACTATGGTAGATAGACATGAAAAGAAGAATAAAAAGGGAATAAAAGCTGATACCTCTCTCAGAATCTCAGATGGAAGACCAGAAGACCCAAATGATGTAAGGGGAGGAGGTACATTGTCTCCCTAGAAAGAATATGAAAAAACTCAATCAATTATAATTGGAGCAAAACTCAAAAGCAGAGAATAGCATTCAATTATATGAAATTTTTCAAACATTTTAAAACAATTAGATAAAAGAACTTGTGTCACCATAGTAAAGTCCACAGTAACTAATAAAAGATGCAAATGTGCAGATTATAAATACAGAGCAATATGATATAATTATTTGCCATGGGATTATAATAATTATAATAGTAATATATATATACTCACAGTCACAGTTATTTCATGTCTTTGCCGATAAGAATCAGGAGATAGTCCAGCTCCAGCATCAGAAGCCACATGACCTTTGACAGAAGCATTAACATTGCCGGCAACATTTGTTCCATTTGGAACATTATGAGAACTATAACCTCCACCTTTGGAACCCTAACAAAATATGAAATACATGAAAGATATGTCCCCCAAACAAGCTAGAATTTTGAAAGAAAATTACACATTGACTTTCAACCACTGCGTAAAAACAACAAATAAAGTCAAGCATTAAAACCTAACCTGATGGTTCCGTGATCCAGCTTCATTCAACCCACCACCGCTACTTCTATCGTACCTATCACTGAAATCAGGACTGCGACCACGCTGCAACCCTTGCGACGACTGTTGAACCTGGACAGAAGAGCTAGGCACTGAAGAAGACTTTGGCTGGGCAGCTGTACTCGAGGGTCTCTCATACTGGGTGACATTGGTCTCAGGATTCCAAAAGTAAAGATACCCAGTCTTACCATCTACAAGACCCCGCCATGGTTTAGGGAGCGTCGGGTCGGGTGGTGCATACCGCGGACCCATTGAAGAGGCAGTTGCTGTGCCAGCCATAGCAAGATAATACAATTCTAACATCACAGAATAAAGAAATAACAAATTAATAATTCGCAATAAGCTACCCAACAATAAAAAAAATAAAACTCGCTAGGAATAATTCCCAATTAAAACGTAACAATGACCGAGTGAAACAACAAACTTTGACAGCGACCCCACTATTATCAAAATCTACATCTCCAAATTAACAAATTCGATTTGGCAATTTATAACAATAATATCAGCATAACATTTAACATGCATTATCAGCCAATTCAAGCAAACATCCATAAACCTAAAATGCATAACCCCAGCAAACCTCAAAATGTTCACACTGCACGTTAACAATCCCTAATCTACACCAACACCATTTAAGTCACAGATTTTCACCAGAAATTACAAACAAATCCTACATAACCAGTAAAAAAAACTCGGAAACTGAACAAAATATCATTTCAGCGCATACAGCACGATGAAATAGAATTCAGGAAACGCAAATCTAGCGCAAACAGTTGCATGCAGCACAAATCCACTCCAAAAACAAAGCCCTAGATTCAACCAAACCGCAAGGAAGCAGTACTCGAGCATAACCTCCGATTTCACATTCAGATCTGGTTGATTGCGGAATGGTGCACGTAACGCACAAAATTAACCTAAAAAAATTGGAGGAAATAAAAAAGAAAAGGAATAACAAATCGAATCTTATTATACCGATTTACGAAGAGGCCGTAGATTCTGTGCAGTAGAACGGTATTTCTCTCTCTGAGATTGAAACCAAATTCAGGTTCGGTTTTGGAGTCGCAGAACCTTACGGCGCGCTTCGAAAATGGGACGAAAGTGAGAAGGAGGAACGAAAGGAGGAGGAAGAAGAAGTGAAATGAATGTAAGGGTTTATTTATAGGAATCAGGTGATACATACATGTATTATTTAAAGCGAAAGGGTTGGGTTAGGTTTGTTGTGTCACCATGGTTAGTGATTTGAGCTGGAATTCTTGACCATGGTTAAGTGTTATGAGGGCAAGTTGTTCCAGTTAGAATTGGATCGTAAAAAAAAAATATATTCAAAAACACCTGGTCAAATTTGCTGTAGTTGAATGGCCCGACCCAACTTATCATTGCATGCCATATAACATTGTTTCACATGACAAAACAAAATATCCAAGGAAAAAGACTTTCTCTAAAATAAATAAATAAATGATTTTTTTAAAAAATGATATATTTGATAAAAATATCGTGAAAATAAATAAAATATATAATCTAGACCCAATAAATCATTATACTCTTATAGGAGAAAAAATAATCTTTGGACAGTTATTTTATTACATTAAGATGTGTAAATAGATATAAGTGTAAATAACAAAATGTAGAGTTCTTAGGATTTTGTTTTCTTCGCAAGCTCTTCACATAGTGAGAGACTTCGACAAATCCTGTAAACAATAAAAGTTCAAAGGTGATATCATTTTGCAACAGTAGTAAAGAGACCTCCCTTAGCTTTAAAGGAGAAGAGGGACCTTTTTTATTGTAACCTTTTAAAGGTGCAATATGAAGATGGGAATACTTAACTAGAAATCGTGGTTGAGAACACATCAAGGGACATTAGTTACCACATGGAATATGAAGGTTTTAACCTGTTGTGTGGTTGTTATGATCATCATAAAAAGAATTATCCCTTCAAATCATTAGAAAATGCTCACCAAAATCTTCTCAAGTTACTCCATAAGAGGTGGTGGAAAACCAATTAAAAAGGAAAGACATATTAATTCCTAGAATAAATAAGGAGATTCAATTACCAACTCGGATAATAATGATAAAAACATTAATGATAACAAAGAGAGAATTAATTTGCACAGTGATTGGTTGATTGTGTAATGTAAGATAAAAACAAATACAAGTCCACAAACAAAAATTATTAATGATGGGCAAAAGTCTAACAATGATTGAGAGCATAGTTTTAAAAACCGGACTGGTCATCGAACTGGTTAAGGTACTGGGTTAGTGGGTCAAAGGTTGAACCGATGGGTCACTAGTTGAACCGTATGACTCGGTTTTTATTTATTTATATTAAAAAAATATTCATATTAAATATATTTTATACTTATAAATTTTAATAAATTCATATCTTATTTTAATTTTTAATTTTTCTATCTTATTTAAAATTATTTTTATTTTTATTTTGTAAAAAAATACATAAAAAAATTACATGTTAAACGGTATATTAATACAAATTAAAAATATAAATAATATGTACATATATAATATGCTTGCAATTAATATCACAAAATAATATATGTAATATTTACATAGATATTATATTATTAAATATATAATTTAAAATTAATAATATACTATAAAAGTTATTTAAGTTGTATATGTTACAAACAAATATATTAGAACAAGTAGTTATTGTTATATTTAATAAGACTTCTTACTTTTCTATTAAGAGATTCAATTATTATTATTACTTTTGTGATTTATGGTCCCTTAAAAAATTTTATTAAAAAAAAAAGTGGTTGAACCGGTTTGACCTACCGGTTCACCGGTTGAACCGGAAAATTGACCGGTTCAATCCGGTTTGAAACGAATCAACTGCATAACCGATCCAATTTAAGATTCGAACCGGCTGGACCACCGGTTCCCGGTCCAACCAGTCCGACCGGCCGGGTCGATCCGGGTTTTAAAACACTGATTGAGAAAGTTACACCATCAAATCAAATGTGCATTCTCGTAATGGTAACACACTCCCTTATATAAAAGGGAAATAACGCATATGTCTAAGACTTCAACGAAAAGCATCCCCATAAAGAGATATTTATTATGCCACGTGGAAGGTAAAATACATGTGGTCATTAAAGCAAGGCATTAGAAATTCCAACAACATCAATTCACATAGGAAAAAGACAAGTCTCATACCGCTAAGGAATGAGCTTAACCATGAATCTATCGTACATTAGAAGAATGTTGTCAAGATTGGTGACAAAAATATTCATCATGTAACATCCTCAAATTTTGGACAATAAGTATGAGAATATATTTAAGGATAATAATGCCATAGGTAGTGTGGACATATGTATGAACCAATCCAATTATGTGATTAATCCAATTATGTGATTAATTCAAACCAAATTGGAGGAAAAAATCTGGATTGATTCAAACTATTGAATTTGTTCAAAATAGAAAATTACAAATTCAATTAGTTTAAATCTCAGATTTTGACTTTCAAGAACCAAACCAAACTAGCCCATTTGATTAAATAAATATCTTGTTATTTTTATTATTAAGTTTAGGGTTTGCGGTATTGGGTTGACACTTAACAAATTTTCTTTTTGAGTGTGAAAAATTTAAGATTTAATTTTAATGTTGTTAGTTGATTTTTAAGTTTGTAGTGTTGAATGTTTTTAAGTATTTTATAATGTTGACAAATAAATTTTTAAAATTGAATAATTTATGTTTGTACTTTGTATTGTTATATGTTTTGAGTTTGCAATATTTCAATGTTTTAAGTATATGATGTTTATTAGTTGGACTTAATGAAATGATAATATATTTTTACAAATTATTTAATGTGTTTTTTATTTATTATTTTAGTTAGATCGGATCGATTCAAATTCGAGACAAAAAAAATGAAAAAATAAACCAATTAAAGTTAATCAACTCAAATGAAAATATGTTTCAAATCATATTTGATATCATATGTGTCCACCCCTACCTATATGTATTAATAATTACTATCTTTGCATTGGAATTTTCAAGGATAGAACAATAAGACCCAAATAAAACTATAAGGCCTAAGACAAGCCAAGGAAGATCAAGCCTTTCACACCTTCATAATAAAATTTAAGAAAAGGAGGGAAAAGAGGAAGAAAGAGAAAAGGAAAAAAGAGACATGTTTTCTAAAGATGAATGTTCCACCTCACCTTCCACTTTTGTTTGATGTTTTATTTCTTTTTTCCCGTTTTAACCCATTTGTGGTCCTAAGCTCAAATTTGCTTGATTTGCAAGATTAGGATGAGGGGAATGTTGTTGTTTAATGGATTAGGAACATCATATGAATGATTTGAGTGTGAATGGTATGCTTATTATTAGCTAAAAGGCCATGGAAGCCATAAGGAATATGATTTGCAACCTTCATGAATCTATGGCAAAAGGAGGGTAGAGGGGATCCAGGATTTGCATATATTTTGTGATGATTTTGATTTGCTAAATATGTTTGGTGTGCATGAAAAGAGAAGAAGGAAGTGGAAGATAAATGTAGGCCTTATTTTTTATTACCCTCAAAGATAAGGAGATATGAGGGGAAGTTACAGGTTTTTACAATTATGTCCTTGAGTCTCTCTATCACGTGAGTGCATAAAAAATGGAGAATACAATCTCATGAACTTCAATTGCTATAAGGGGCTTGACTTGTTCGTACAAATGATTATGGTCACTACATAAACAATTATATGAACCTCACATGCATTTAGGTGCTTTTTGAAAGTTCATAATAGAGATATAAATAGAATTTGAGAGAAAGAAAGAGATAATATTTCTTAAATGTAAAATATGTATTCAACTCACTAAATAGAGAGAGTACATGTAGTTTATATAGAGACCACAATTTCTAACAAAAGTTGTTGACCTGTAACAATTATTGGGTCTATAACAAAAAATAGTAAATGTGACTAACAACACTTACTGACTAGGAGAAAATAATAAAATAGGAAAATGTAAGGTCTTGTGCTATAGCTATAGCCATAAGTAAAGAGTAAAACTATACTCCAGTACCCATTGAAAGCTCAAGTAGGTGAGGAGGATATGACGACTCAACTACTTCTAGCTTGGATCGAAGAACACATAACCTAAAGACAGATAGAGCTTTGGTGAAAACATTAGTACATTGATCAATAGTTGGAACATGAATGACTTGAAGATGCTTAATAGTTACCTTCTCTCAAACAAAGAAAATATCTAATTTCACATGTTTAGTTCACGCATGAAGGACAAGGTTGTGAGCTAGGGCCATAGTGCTCAAGTTGTCACAAAATATAATTGGAGTTTAATGAAGAACCTTGAGTTCAAATAGTAAGGTTTGTATCCAGGTAACTTCAGTAATAGTAAGAGCAAGGCTTCAATATTCTGCCTTAGTGCTAGAACGAGAAACAACAATTTGCTTCTTTAACCACCAGGACAAGATTTGGTCTAAGAAAGATGGAAATGCCTGATGGAGATCTCCTATCATTAGGATCTAATGCCCAATCTACATCAAAGTAAGCTTAAATAAAATAAAAAAAAGGAGTTGGAAGAGCTTGGTTACAGGTGCAAACCCCAAGATATAATACCCTTTAAATAGCGCAAGATACATTTTAACAACAAACTAATGTTGTTCCGGAGGATGGGACATGAATTGGTATACTTTATTTATTGAGAAGCTAATTTTTGGTCTAGTAATGGTGGCATATTGTAATGCCCCAACCACTAACATATAAAGAGACGCACCTAGAAAATTTTCAAATCCAGTTTTGGATAATTTATAACCACTAATCATTGGAGAAGAAATGGATTTTGAACCTTCCATATCAATGTGATTTAAGAGATCCCTAACATATTTGTTTTGATTCAAAACAAATGAGCCATTAGTCCGAGTTTTCTCTTCAACGCCAAGAAAGTAATCAAGGTTACCAAGATCCTTGAGTGAAAAGGCAAAATTAAGCTGAGAAACTAAACTATGAAGAATAGTTAAGTTATTGCTTGTAATGTTATAGTCATCTACATATACTGAGAGGTAGATGACATTATTGGCATTAGAGTAGACAAACAATGATGAATCACACTTGCTTGTTTGAAAGTTACATTACAGTAGAGTTAATTTTTAATTTCTCAAACCAAGCTTGGGGTGCTTGTGTGAGCCCATAGATT